CCAGTCCTATCCTGACCCCAGTCAACACTTCCACCCTCCAGCAGCCCTGCTGCTTGCCAGAAACAGGTCTAAAAAGTTAGATAAGCTGTTGACCTGGGTGTTGCAGGCGTCGGACAATAAAAATCCAAAATCCTTGAACAATAATTGCCAGCTAGATGTAGGTGACCATTTGCAGAATAAAAAGGGGTTGATTTCTACATTTAATTTTCTTTTTCAAACCTCGTAAACCCATATTTTCAAATCTAGAAGGTTTAAAGCAAGGTTTTAAAGTAAAATGCTTGTGACAGTTCATCTTTAACACAAACATTTATGTAAAGACAATCTCATACACCTAGTTTCTCACATACACTTTGTGGTTTAGAAAAAAAGAGCTTGTTAAATGTGGAGACATGTATTTAATATTTGTGGCTGGCTTCACAATTATTTAGAACATAGATCTGCCAGTGAGATTATTCTTCCTGTGCCTGCTCAGTTGCATAAAATGAAGAGCATTTGAGCTTGTCTAAGAATCAAAATAGTTTAGAATTGTTTAGGTTAGTACTCTTTCACTCTATACCCATACCTCCCAACACTTCAAATGATCAAAAGAGACAATTTAGGTTTAAGGGTGTGGCGGTAGGTCTGGCCAGAGACCTTTTCAGTGATTTCATGAACTACTACCTTAAACTATAGAAAGTACAAGAGCAAAGTATAATATCTATGCAGATAAATGTACTTTCTTCTTTGTACAATTACAGATTACTAAATTTGCATAAAACAATAACAGGAAACACAGATATAAAACCGTACAGATAATGCAAAAAAAAATAAATAAAATAGAAATGGTTGTTAGAGTCCATGGTACAGCATCATCAAAATAGGCACATGCTTTAAAACCAGGGCCATCATATTTCCCTCTGGGGATGGAGGAAGCTACAATTCTAATGACAACGCCAAAACAGTGGGTTGGTATAAAGGAGCCAGAAGAGATGAAGAAGAAGGGCATGGAAAGCTGGGAATAAAGGGGTAAGTAGAGGAGATAAACAGCAAATACCATCTACAGGGAGGAAGGATATTATGGTCACATTAGCAAAGCTCCAGATGTCTTCAATGGGAGGAAGTGCTTCCATCCATGAAGATACAATTTTCAAAAGTCAGTTGTGGGTAGAAGCAGTATATATAATAATTTGTAAATACAAGCTACTGTGAGTGTTATGCTGTAAAGCTCTGTCATAACAGACATACATAGAACCAATTTGGAGCTACTAGTTAAGAGGAAGGATTTGGCCCAAAATACTGATTGCTCTCTCTATGGGACACTTGGTAAGTCATTTTATTATTTAATAAAATCAAAGAAAAGAGTTACTTGCACACTATCCCAAATCCCTATGCAGGTTTAAATAAGTGGAGTTTTTTTTAATATCACTCCAATGGCTGTTTAAAGGACCACTATAGGCACCCAGGCCACTTCAGCTTAATGAAGTGGTCTGGGTGCCAGGTCCATCTAGGGTTAACCCTGCCTGCTGTAAACATAGAAGTTTCAGAGAAACTGCAATGTTTACCTATGGGTTAATCCAGCCTCTAGTGGCTGTCTCATTGACTGCTGCTAGAGGCGCTTCCGCGCTTCTCCCTGTGATTTTCACAGTGAGAAGAGGCCAGCGTCCATAGGAAAGCATTGAGAATGCTTTCCTATGGACTGGCTGAATGCCCGTGTGGCTCTTGCCGCATATGCGCATTCAGCCGATGACGTCCAAAGGAGGAGGAGAGTCCCCAGCGCCGAGGGAGCCCGACGCTGGAGAAAGGTAAGTGATTTGACCCCTTCCTCCCCCTTTAGCCCACGGGAGGGGGGCCATGAGAGTGGGGGCACCCTCAGGGCATTATTGTGCCAGGAAAACGAGTTTGTTTTCCTGGCACTATAGTGGTACTTTAAGCACAAGCTCACCTGCCACGTCAAGGCAAATCTCTTAGGTGAGTTCTACACTAACAATTCACTTTGCTTCCTTCAGCGTCAGGTAAAGAAAACCCTCTAATGAGACATAGAGAGGTTTTTAATATCACTCCAATGAAGATAAAGACAGCAAGGTGGATTGTTAGTGTAGGACTCACCTAAGAGGATTGCCCTGGCGTAGCATGTGAGCTTGTGCTTAAACGGCCATTGGAGCAATATTAAAAAACCTCCAGTTACATAAATATGCATAGGGATTTGGGATAGTGCACAAATAACTATTTTCTTTGGTTTGTATTGTATGTATTGTGGCTGATGTGTTCTGTAGTCATTGCTGCCGCTCAGGAGTAGTGGGAGTCTAAACACAGGACTTATTTTTGTGTATTTTCATTTTATTATTTACCATATTGTTCCATTGCTGAACTGATGTCAGGCACTATATTAAACTATTAAACCAAAAAATGTTTTTCTTTTAGTTAGAAAATACTTGCATGACTCACAATACTTTTTTCACCTTCAGTGATCCTTATAGGTCTTATTTCCAGCATAGTTTGAAGTCAAATATTTTAATCAGACAAGATTATTTTGGAATGCAGAGTAGAACGTTCTTCTTAAATCTACATCAAATGTAGCAAAAGAACTTCAGTCGTATGTTGACGTCAGTGGAAAAATTGTTTATAGTGAGTAGTCACACAGAGAGGAATTCAGATTTAAAACAACTTTTATTGATAAAGATATTAAAATATGTAATAGGCCGCCAAAGTTGTCTACTAAAATATGTCCATTGTCCACTATTATTTACATACATCACACAGCTCAAGGATAATTGCTAGCAGCTTCTAAAAATAAATATTACCTATAACTAAGTATCAAGTTTGAATTAGAATGTTGCAACTATCTCAAATATAGTTGCCATTGGCGTGTGATACTTAGAGATAATTTCATCTGCTCACCATATAGGAACTTTTTTTCAAATTATATATAAAAGGAATTGAACAGCTAAATATAAACGAATAGAACTCAAGGATGCCCAAAACGATTTAAGCATGGAATTACTTGCTTTTTGTCCGCTGCCTGCCCTTGCAGGTACTGATGAGGTCAAGATGCCGAGTGTCTGAATCCGGCAGCCGGAAGGTATGCAAGACACCGGCAAAAGGCGCCAACTTTAATTTCCTTGCTGCATGGTATATTAGGAGAACTGCAGAAGGCGAAACTATGATGAAGACTTGTGGGTCGAAACGCATCATGCTATTGGTATTTTTGACTTTCTGCTATTGATTGTGTGCTGAAACCTGTTGCAATAGTTGCACTATTTTATTTTGTTGCTGCAATAAATTTGTTAACATTTTCTTTTAATCCTGGGTCCTGATTCCTGGAGGAGTAAACAAGGAGTATGGTAGCAGAAGTGAAGCAGTGAAGCACTTACATCTACATGCCTGCATAGCCAGAGCCTACTATAAGTGGCTCTGGAAAGTGTGAGTTCTTAATTGTCACTTATGGTTCTTTATATCTGTTTTTGCAGTATTATACTATGGGTTTTTTACTATTATTATTTACTATTATACTAAGTGTTTTTTCTCTATACTTCCAGATACACTATGCAATTCACTCAAATAATGGATAAAAGTAAATATTGAGCAGTGAACAAGTCTTATACTCACATTTTATATGTGGTTTCTAATTGCGCCCCCTATCTTGATTAGAAAAGCCCTGGCATGAATCTGTTAGAAAAACTATGGAACCGATTAAAGAAACTTCAACTAAGGAACAAAAACACCAGTGATAGAAGCAACTATATAATCTTGGTTAATCTAATTTTGACAACTCAGGCTTGGCATTGCAAAAATAACTGATGTGGCAAATGCCAAGGCTAGGCAATATTGGTGCTGTTTTTGCATTGCTGTCCACTTTTTTTTCCAGCATTTATGGCATGTCCAAATGTTTATTTTTTTTATCATGGACGATGTTCAGCAAAACCTGAAAATTGACACAGACGAGCATCGTACATCATGAACAAAATTTCAATTTCAGGAACAAATTTCGGCCGTACCGAAATATTGAGCAGTGAACAAGTCTAACAATTTGAGACTGGACAGGATAGATTTGCCCACCTAGAACTTAGAAGACTACTTACCCATCTGCGTGGTGCACATATACACATGTGTTTATTTATGCACCGAGTTAATGGATGAGGGCCCAAAAAGATGCCACTCACACTGTGACACACACATACATTTATTTATTTATAAAAATATTTTACCAGGAAGGATACATTGAGATTTCTTGAATTAGGGAATGTGGTGAGGGGGCCACTTGCATGTAATTTGCCTAGTGATGTCCTAGCTAAAAAGGAGATGTGTCAGCCTGGATTTATATCCATGCTAGGCTGACCATCCATCATTCTTGCCTGCCCTATTAAGGGCTTTTGATGCATTCTTAAATGGGCTCAATGTCCTAAAGGCAATTTGCACTAATTAATATCCTCAATGTGCCCTTTCTGTGCACCTTGTGTCTGGCATTCCCAAATGTAGGACATCTGGGAAAAAACTCTGGACGGCTGGAAATGACCTAGAATTCAGGAATGTTCTGCCAATCATGGGAAGGTTGGAAGGTAAGTCCATCTTACAGTTAGCCGTCTCTGTGTCATGAGTTCATATTTTGACTATTCTGACTCTGTATCCCTTTGACCTTGGCTTGTTTTCTTATTCTTGTGTACCTCTGTATTCCTTGACCTAGGCATCCTTTATTACTACGATTTCTTGCCTTTTTAGGCATATGTTAAGTCCGGCCACTCTAAGGTCCGGTATACGTATCCTGTTCTTCCTTCTATTTAGACTAACATCCTTCTCCCTGTGTGTAGGGGTTGCCCCAATTCTGACAAATAGAACTAAGATCATTCAACAAATACATTTTAGGAAGTCTTCCAGTCAGGATAAGCAAACTAAAGTATAAAGTCTTTCTTGTTTTTTGCTCTGCAAGTAACACCAAGCCTCAGTAGCAAGCCAGTAACCAACCTCAGGCTGATGATTTGCATTAAAGGAACACTATAGTCACCTAAATTACTTTAGATAAATAAAGTTTTAGTGTATAGATCATTCCCCTGCAATTTCACTGCTCAATTCACTGTCATTTAGGAGTTAAATCACTTTGTTTCTGTTTATGCAGCCCTAGCCACGCCTCCCCTGGCTATGATTGACAGAGCCTGCATGAAAAAAAAAACTGGTTTCACTTTCAAACAGATGTAATTTACCTTAAATACTTGTATCTCAATCTCTAAATTGAACTTTAATCACATACAGGAGGCTCTAGTAGGGTCTAGCAAGCTATTAACATAGCAGGGGATAAGAAAATCTTAATTAAACAGAACTTGCAATAAAGAAAGCCTAAACAGGGCTCTCTTTACAGGAAGTGTTTATGGAAGGCTGTGCAAGTCACATGCAGGGAGGTGTGACTAGGGTTCATAAAAAAAAAGGGATTTAACTCCTAAATGGCAGAGGATTGAGCAGTGAGGCTGCAGGGGCATGTATCTATACACCAAAACTGCTTCATTAAGCTAAAGTTGTTCAGGTGACTATAGTGTCCCTTTAACAATGAAACAGCTGTCCATGAGTGGTTCACTGGCTTTGCATCTTTTCCTGAGTTGTGTTTCAAAGCTGTTGTATATAGCAGACATATATTCCAAGGAATCCATGTATAAAGTGGAAAGAATTAGGCAAAATGCGATTCTTTGTTGAACTAATTTGTATATGCCCACCCAGAATTCCTTGTAGTAGTAACAAGTCTTATGGTTTGACTGGTGTGCAGATCTGTGTTTAACAATGTATTGATTGATTGAAGGGGTTTTAAATCACTTTTTTCCCCACCATAACTTTCTTGGTATATATATATATATATATATAATATGTTATTTGATATTTCTTTTAAAACTGCTTAAAGGTTAATCCAAATTATTAAATAATTTGAAAAGCAGTCAGTTAATTAATAATCAGTGATTTAAACAGTATATAGTAATTACTATTTTTCGTGTTGTCGTACCATGTTTGGCCTCTCTGTTTATGGCAGGACTAACAAAATGTGTCACAAACTGCCAGACCATATCTCCCACATATATGTGGTACCCCGGTGGATAGAAGCTCTGAAACAAGGGAGTTCTGTAAAAATACAATTTAACAAATTGTCTATAATTAGAATTGTTTAATCCTGTTAGGGACTTGCAGTGACAGTAGCTTTTCTAAGGTGCTGTGCGTTCGTGACTGAGGCTGTGTTGGCACCTTTACTATTTGTTTGTTACTGTTTTCAGAAACGTTTAACAGATTTATTTGTAATATAATAAAATTTTGGTGAATTTCACAGGCCTAAAATGCTCTACTGTCATAAATCATAAATTCCTGAAGTATACCAAATGGGCTAATCTTTTGAGCCTTTTCATGTGGCCATTTCATCATGGGTTGTTTTGTTTTTTTGCTGAAGTTAACAATAATACTTTTTTCCCACACATTTTGTGGCGGTTTTAACACATCCCATCTAAAGACCCCAGATTTGTATTTTGCTACTCCCTCCAGTAATATCAGTGCCCCTATTTATACAGGAATACAACTGCTGGAAGACCAACATAGCTTTCAGGAGAAGCAGGCAGACTCCTTGCTTTTTGATTTTAAATATATATGTATATTGAATAGCGGCTGCTGCCCATTCATATTGCAGTCAGACCAAGGAGGGTGGGTGGCTATAGTGGGAAGCAGTTTCTATAGGTGTACTCCTTTTCAATCATGTATTCCCAACAACTGTTTGCTTATCCATGGTATTTCCTTAGTGATTGGTCTCCAGGCATAGAGCAACTTCTCTGTCCTGTCCTGGAAAGTTAATACCTGAGAGTGAAGTTAAAGCGGGACAGTTTATTTATTTTTTTTATTTTTTTTTCGAAGTCTTTTTTCCCCTTCTTTTAAATAAATAATAGAAAGAAGCGGGCACTTTATCTTAAAGGGAATTTGATCTGTGACAAATTCCAGGCAAGGGACAAGGGGGGAGTATTAAGATACAAATGGTATAAGGAAAAGAAAAACTAGGGTTGCTTTATTCTTCACCCCTATTACCAATCCTCTAAGTGAACCCAAATGGACCATCTCAACTGATGAGCAGTAGCTCCAACAAAGAGAGTGTCCCAGTGTGACTGTGTGTAACACTCACATATACTTAAGCAAGGAGATATTCTAAGAGTAAGGTGGGATTTTGCAAAGTGTGATAGTAGATTGGGGGGCACATAAAGCTCAACAGGAAGTGATCTTCCTTTCATCTGCCACTCACACAGGAAATACCTTGCATGAGGATTAGCACCGAGTACATACTGTATAACAGCTACTGCAGCTCTAATATCAATCATAGGAGACAGACTAAATAACGCTTTATTTTCACATACACTAAACACCCCTTTCTTCTTATCCTAAATGTAACCCCTCCCAAAACCTAAACAACCCCCCCCCTCCCCCCCAAAAAAATGTATACAAAATAAATATATATATAAACACATCGGCACATTTATTATATGACAGGATACTTTACCCATATATATATGCACCTTAGGCCTGACAGTGTTTGCTGTTTGAAAACAGATGCATTTTCCTTGTTTCTGAGCATGGAGTGAAGATCATGAAGACCATAAAGACTATCTATTTTCAAACACTGTCTGACCCAAGGTGTTTGTATATGGTTGAAGGATCCCGGCTGTCACATACTAAAGACAGGGATGAGTTTCTCAAAAAATTTTTATATATGTCTTTTCAAAACATGATGACAGGATTATTATATAAAAGAATATTTTTGAGGTGACTGTTGTCCTATTGTTTTTTAATGTAAAAGATTGGGACCACTGTACATATATTTTGCTTATTGATGCAACATTACAGAGATTACGATAGGATATAGTTATTTATAAAATTCAGATCTTGCAAAATTTAAAAACAGTTAATTTTTGTTGCAGTTGTTTGCTGTTCCTTACTATGTGAATTCATAACAATACGACGCAATATATTATTATTATTATTATTATTATTATTATTACTATTATTATGTTATTTATATAGCGCCGTCAAATTCCGCAGTGCTTTACAATGGGTGGACGAACAGACATGTAGTTGTAACCAGACAAGTTGGACACACAGGAACAGAGGGGTTGAGGGTCCTGCTCAATGAGCTTACATGCTAGAGGGAGTGGGGTAAAATGACACAAACGGTAAGGATAGTATTAGGCTAATGACAGTTGCAGAAGAGGAATCAGTCAGGAGCTATTAACAGTTTAATTGATACGCTTTTATGAAGAAGTGGGTTTTTAATGATTTTTTGAAGGAGTGGAGACTGGGTGAGCATCTAACGGAGGAGGGAAGCGAGTTCCACAGGAACGGTGCAGCCCTCGAGAAGTCTTGAAGGTGTGCATCAGAGGTGGGAGTACGGACAGAAGATAGACGTAAGTCATCAGCAGATCGTAAGGGCCTAGACGGGACATACTTGTGTATTAGAGAGGATAGATAGGTGGGAGCAGCATTATGTAGAGATTTGAAAGCAAGAACCAGAATTTTAAATTGAGCTCTATATCTTATCCAATGTAGGGACTGACAGAAGGGTGAGGCGTGGGAGGTGCGGACGGACAGGAAGATGAGCCTCGCTGCCGCATTCATTATGGACTGTAATGGCACAAGTTGGGAGCACGTAAGACCACTGAGAAGCGGATTGCAGTAGTCAAGGTGGGAAAGGACAGTGGAATGGACCAACACCTTAGTCGCATCTGACATTAAGTAGGGGCGGATGCGCTCAATGTTTTTGAGATGGAAATGACAGGATTTGGCGATAGATTGAGCATGAGTCTTGAAGTAGAGGTCGGAGTCAAAGAGAACACCTAGACAGCGAGCCTGCGTGGTGGAGCTGATGGTAGCACCGTTGACTTGGAGGGGTAGCAACACTTGATAACATGACTGTACAATTTACAAAGGTACTACACTACTATTCACTTACTGTGTTCTTGTTTTGCCTCTTGGTAGCTAGGTATTATCCATTGGAATCATAGCAAATTCAATATACCCACAAATGACAGCCATACCCCTTCTGCAATAAGAATTGTCAATATGTGTTATATCTTGCTGGAAATAACTGCACTATTCTTTGTTCCTACATTAGTGTGTATATATTCCAAATGACGTAAAATATATTATCATTATGGGCATTTTATATAGCTCCAACATATTCCTTAGGGCTTTACAATATTATTATGGGGACTTTAGCAATAAAGGAGACAAACTATTACACATTTTGAAAGGAACAATAGGTTCATAGAAACATAGAAACATAGAATGTGACAGCAGATAAGAACCATTCGGCCCATCTAGTTTGTCCAATTTTCTAAATACTTTCATTAGTCCCTAGCCTTATCTTATAGTTAGGATAGCCTTATGCCTATCCCATGCATGCTTAAACTCCTTTACTGTGTTAATCTCTACCACTTCAGCTGGAAGGCTATTCCATATATCCACTACCCTCTCAGTAAAGTAATACTTCCTGATATTATTTTTAAACCTTTGTCCCTCTAATTTAAGACTATGTCCTCTTGTTGTGGTGTCATGAGGACCTTGCTCAAGTGAGCGATAAATCTTATTTGTTTGATTGCCCAGTGTGAGTTAAGTAAGACTAATGGGATATTGTGTAGTAGCTTTATTAAAGTAAATTACAAACTACCAAGTATTAATTTTGTAAGAATGGGATTAGGCTAGGAAAGAGTTATTTTCTGTCTGCTGATTATATGTATGAAGTACCAGCACAGCAGAGAAGTGTCAGCGAGCTTTATTTAGTCATGAGTAACTCTCATGAGTCACTGTCTATTCACAGGTTCTCCTAACGTGTTTCCATCTATAGCATCCATTCTTCAACAATAATGAATTTGCTATCACTATCACTTTCATTGCATTTTTTATTTGAAAACAAGATGAGAACTATTTATGCCCACATAACCAATTTTAAAGAAAGATACCTTTTATTCAGTTGCTTCAATACGTGCATGGAAACATCGAGTCATAAATAAGACTTGGATTCTACATCTTATGACTCATTTTCTATTTTACATTTCCTGAGCTAAGATTTAAACTTTTAACTATGTTATACTAGGATCAAATATTCTACCTACTTTGAGGCACAAAAACTTGGAAGAGAGATAGGATGCACAGGAGACAAATATAGGGAAAGGAGAAAGACTGAGGTGTTATCTAATAACAGTTTCAGTGTTGTTACACGTACGTATCATTTCTAGACGTGCACCGCA